GGATGTGACCTGCAGGCACTTTCCATCATTATACTTAAATCTCTCTGATACTCCCTTTTATATGTTCTTGTTTATGTATGTATTTTTGCTTTCTCCACGAGAATATAACCTCCACTGACATCAAAGATCTTGCCTATTTTCATCTTTCTATTTTCAGTCAGTGCCTGGCTGCCTGGCTCATAATAGAAACTCAGTAAATGTTTGTGGAATGAATGATTAAAGTATAGAACCATTTTTGAAGCTCAATTTGGCTTTTAGTGTTCAGGTAATTTAAGGGTAACAAAGATAATTTATTAGATTGTTTAGATTTCATTTGTATGGCCATAAAGGCAAAAATAAAAATACATTTGCAGAAGCAAAAGTTGTGGCAATAGTTTTTCTACAGAATTATATTTACTCTTATAGATAACATTGGCTACTCTCTTTAGATCTTGGCTATAGTTGCAGTAAGTGCCTTTTTTTTTCTCAGTGACCCCACCTCTTGCTCTGTAATGTGGTGTAGCTTTTTTAAATGAAGAGGTTTTCTTTGAAGAATTAAATTATGTTGTTTCCAAGGGAGCTTCCCTAGAAGTAGGCCCATTTGTTTAATTCTGTATTCAGTGATTTCTATTGTAACTCTAAACCCATGTGCTATTGGATAAATCTTTAAATATATAAACACAATTTAGTGTCATCTTGAAACCTATATTTTCTCAAGTATTTTTTCTTCCCAAAGTAAAACATTGATATATACAATTTATATTATATTGTTTATTGTTAACACAGAAGCATTTGTAAGAAATGTTTTTAGGCCCCTCGACTCAGCACTTTCTTCTTATTTCATTTCCTTTCCTTCTTTTCTTCTCTCTACCTTTCCTTTCATTTTTCTGTGTTTGGTAATTGCATTACAGTTGATTCTGCTAATGTCAGTGTCAACTGATCATAAATGTTGGTTTTTAACCATTAATGATAGTACTAACAATAATCAAAGAAGGAGAAAGAGAAAAAAGAATCTTTACTATTTGTTAATCTATGCTCAATACCTATTTATGTTTTCTGATTTTACCCTTACATTAAATCCATAAAGAAGTAGACCCATTTTACAGCCAAAGAAACTGAAGCCCAGAGAAAAATAACTTGATCAAGTTCATCAGTGGACAAATATCAGGGAGAAAACATAAACCAAAGTCTGTTTCACTCCAAAGCACTTTTAACCAATAGACAAAACTACCTTTATACTGTAATGTTGGAAATGGGTCAAATTTATCTTGCCTTCCTTCACAACAGTTTTCTGGAATTTTTGATAGTCTAGGTCTTGTTTGTAACAGTGAGGGAACTCTCTATGAGAAGCCTACTCTTTTTGTTCTCATCAAATTGAGGTGTATTTCAGCAAAGGCTATAAGTTTAGTAAAATGCTTTATTAAAGCACAAAACCTATACAGTATAGTAATGTGGCCTTATCTCTGGTGCCTCTCTGAGACTCACTAACAATTTTATGAACCATCTTATGAAATTTCTACAATGCCTCTGAAGCCCAGAAAGAGTAAACTTAAAGATATTGTTCATTATAAGATCAAAGTAGCAGAAAAAGGTACAGCCATCTTCTATCCACAAAACATTTTCTTTAATGTTGAAATGTAATAAGTTTTCATTGTTCAGATGATCAAAGGCTTATCTCAAAGAGTTGGCTGTGCTAGCATTAATGAAATATATTCCATAGCAAATCCCATACTGTATCCTCATGACAATGGCCTCAAGTGATGCTTTACACATACAGAGTTTTAGGTCAAAGAGGTTCGGGAAATATTGACATTATATCTCCTTCTTAGAGATTTATAACACATTGTGCATTATGAAGTGAATATCAAATTTCATAGGTATATTTGAATTGCTAGCATGCTGATTAAAAATGCAAACCCTATATTTATAGAACAGAATTATCACCATAGAGCATTTTATTAACAGTCACCTCATTTGATTATGAGATCAGATCATTCAAGATAAAAAAAATTAAGATATTGTATGTTAAAGTGTCTGAGAAGAACTACAATAAATACAACTGTTTAACATTGAAATCAATTTTTCCCTAAACTTAAATGACATGAACTCTACTCTTAACAAGTTCATTTTGGGAAATCCTACACTATGCAAATTACTTTCTGTATGAACCACGTTTTTCGAGCTCGATGTTTTACAATTAGTTAATTTTTCCTTTTTTTATTAAACTTTAAGTTCCGGGATACATGTGCAGATCATGTAGGTTTGTTACATAGGTATACACGTGCCATGGTGGTGGTTTGCTGCAACATCTTCATTAGGTATTTCTCCTAATGCTATCCCTCCCCAATCATCCCACCCCCTGCTATTATTCCACTAGCCCCCAACTCTCCAGGCTCCAATGTTTGATGTTCCCCTCCCTGTGCTTGTGTGTTTTCATTGTTCAACAATCACTTAGGAGTGAGAACTTGTGGTATTTGGTTTTTTGTTCTTGTGTCAGTTTGCTGAAAATGATGGTTTCCAGTTTCTGTGTATAACCAGATTTAGGCACATTTTATACACAACTGGTTTTTCTAAATAAGTCTATGATACACAGAAAAAGTGAGATTGTCACTATAAGACTAAAAATCGATAGCTGAATTCTTAACAACCTTATTCTAAATACATTTTAATGATCTATTTCTAAATAATTTTTGAGTATTCTAAATACTACATGTCCTACGAAGGACATGAACTCATCCTTTTTATGGCTGCATAGTATGTCATGGTGTATATGTGCCACATTTTCTTTATCCAGTCTATCATTAATGGGCATTTCAAAGGGTAAATGTAAAAATAATAAAAACAATAGCCAGTTGGTTAATTACAGCAAAACAGAGTAATTATAATATTTCTAGAGAAATGTGAAGTTCTCATTCTAAATCACACAAGGAAAATACTTTTTCTCCTTAGGCAGTGTAGAAGGTTCCTCTATATATATAAAGGAATACGCAGTATTAGTATTTAGAATACTCAAAAATTATTTAGAAATAGATCATTAAAATGTATTTAGAATAAGGTTGTTAAGAATTCAGCTATTGATTTTTAGTCTTATCGTGACAATCTCACTTTTTCTGTGTATCATAGACTTATTTAGAAAAACCAGTTGTGCATAAATCTGGTTATACACAGAAAGCAGGCATTTATGAAAATTCTAAAGTATGGAAATATTTCATGGCCAATTTAAAAAAAATTATTATTTATTTAGAGAATATATATTTACCACTTTTTGGTAGGCATCTAACTGTGATCTAGTGGTGATAAATGTAGCCTCTGTCTTAAAGGTATTCACAATATACTAGGGAGCCAAGCATGATTATACATATAAAAACAATGATAAGTTCTAGAGTTGTTATAACCATTACCTTTAGAGCAGGGAAGGGTGACTGAATCTATATACTAGTAGAAAAAATAAAGTATGACAGATATGAGTAGCTGGTTTTCAGGGTCCTGCAGTGAAGGAATGGAGCAGCACACACATGGGCAGAGAAATGTACAGATACATGGATTGTGTTCAGTTAAGAGCAACATAGTGTGAGAATAGGGAGCATGTAAAAATAACCTGTCAAATTTGAATTGGAGTAGGTTTAATCTCCTATATATATAACCTTTTTATTCATCTTCTACTCAGGATTTTTAGAGTTTAAAGTCAATCTAGGTTTCCATCCCCTGGTTGATCCCTTGGAAATAAACTTATTTTTTTATGTCAGTGGTCATCAATTATTTTTTGAGATAGGATCTCACTCTGTTGCCCAGGTTGGAGTGCAGTGGCATGATCACAGCTCACTGCAGCCTCAACCTCCCAGCACAGGTGATCCTCCCACCTCAGTCTCCCAGGTAGCTGGAGCCACAGGCATGTGCCACCACACCCAGCTGTTTTTTTAATTTTTCCTTGTAAAGCCAGTGTTTTACCACACCATATTGCCCAGGCTGGTTTTGTACTCCTGGGCTCAAGTAATCCACCAATCTCAGCCTTGCAAAATGCTGAAATTACAAGTGTGAGCCATTGCACCTGCCCTAGTGTTCATGAATTATTAAACTCTTAGGCTCTGTCTTGCATATGGAAAGATTATGAGAAATTGAACACACATACACACATAAATGGAGATTCTTACACTACGTGTGTTGCTATTAATTTAAAAGTATGTATATAATAAAGAGAAAAAAAAGAGAAGGAGGAAAAGTAGCAGTAAGTAAAAAAGGAAAGGAAGAGAGGAGGGAGGGAGGGAAGGGGAAAGGAGGAAGGGAGGGAGGAAGAGAAGAGGGAGGGAAGGAAGCAGGAAAGAAGGAAGGGAAGAAGGGAGGAAGGGAGAAATGGAGGAAGGGAGGGAGGGAGAAAGAAAGGAAGGGAGACAGGATTTAATATTTTAACCTTGGTTAAAATGGAAGTGAAGCCCAAGTGGAATCCTTTTTTTTTTTTTTTTTTTTCACTGTTAACACTTCATCTTCCTTAAAACTAGTGAAGCTAATAAGTAAGATGAGATTTTTCTGGTCAGTAAAATTTGAGATCTTAGTTCTGGAAATATTATCTTTTAAAATAGATGTTGAGGATTTTATGCAATACAGATTGATGGTCATATTATTTACATTTTTTCCTAGCTTGCAATATTGATATTCCTGTAGGCACTCAAATAATTGACATATATAAATCATAGAGTCTAGATGCATTGCAGATATCGTAGTTTTGTAATCTTTTACTTCTTTTTAAATATTTTTACATGGAAATAACTTTCCACTGGACTTGTACTTCTTTGTAGTAGCTGACTGCCATAAGCCCCATTGTGATCCCCAAACCAGCCAGGAATGTTTGATCTCTCCTTGAAATCCTGTTGCTGTGGTTATGGGTTTTGTCCCTAGCTTGCCTTTTCAGTATGGATCAAAGTGATAGAATCTTCTCAACAGGAAGAATTCAAGAGGCTTTCTTAACCCCCCTTTCTTTATTTAACTTAACTTCATTGATGTATTTTCAATTGCTGCTTTTGTAGGAGGGCAGAACCTGTTCAATGAAGCACCAAGAAAGTCCCCCAAGTAATGCCACTGCAGAAACCGAGCCTATCCCACAGGTATTTGTTCGTTGTATTTTCATGTCAGAAAGAACTTCTTGAATCTATCGTATTTAACCCTCTTCTCTTTTGCTCTAGCTGGGGTCGGATGTTATACTTGCTAGTGCTATATAGTGCCTTCGCCTGGTGCCCCTGGGCTTTTCCATAGCTGCTCAGCTTTCTACTAAGATTTTGGCTTGACTATGTGAGGCCCTCAGAAGATCAAGGGTGAGGGAAATTCTCCCTCACTTACATCTTCCCTTCCACAGACCAGGAAACAAAACAAAAATAAACAGGGATGATCAAAATGATCAGTGATAAGAAATATTGGACAAAGGTGCTTAAAGAGGATTTGAAAAAAGCAGAGATGAAAAGAAGTGCATATTGCTTACAAAAAAAAAAAAAAACAAAACAAAGACAAGTTAAGAGCTTAATTCTGAATTTTTATTTGTAATGTATTACACTGGGCCAAAAATATTGTATCATTGACATTCTTAATATTTATTTCAATTTCACTTAATACTAAAGCATTGAGTTAGATTTAACGTACTCAAACTTTGAATTAGATGAATCAGAATTGAATGGTTTGGGCAAAGTTTTTTCAAAATAATAACTTGCCGTTTTTGGGGAAAAATATTTTTATTTACTTTCATGAAACATAATTAACATCTTTACATTTGTTTCATTTCTGTTTAGTGTTCATTTTCTCTAAGACACTTATTGAGATCTATGAATTTTCATTCTTATTCTGTTAGGCTTTTCAATTTTTACCTTAAAATGTATTTATTTTGATTCTTAAATAGTCTTTTCTGTATTGTTTAACAGAAATTGCAAATGCCTCCTTGTTCTGAATGTGAGGTGAAAAAAGAAAAACAAGTGACCAGTTTTGAAGGGATGGCAGCGAGAGAAGAAAAAATACTGTAAATACTAAGAAACTGTTAAAAACATCCATTTACTATTGTCTTCATACTCTTTTTAGACCACAAGCTTGATGGAAATACTAAGTTTCTAAAGCATGCAACTTTTTCACAATTTTATGTAACTTTATAAAGTAGTCTATAAATTTTCAAAGATTCTAGACCAATTATGATCCTTAAGCAATAACCTAATTGAAATAAATATCCACAGTCATAAATATTTTGTTGTCATCGGTAAACTGCCCCATATAAATTGGTCTGTTTTAAACTCAAATGTATCTAACATGTAATTCTTCTGGTTCATTTGGATATCTAGTACTTCTATGATGTAGCTGTCAAAATCAGCTGGAGGATAATAAAATATGTGGGTTCTCAGTATTCTCAAATCCAAATTACAACCATATCATTAAGGGTTTGGTCCACATGAGCCAACTGAAGTCATTTTCTTCAAGGTTGGAATTTGTGCCAACCTAAATACATTGTTTCTTTGATTATGTTTATTGCTATTGGTATTGGTATTATTCTGAAATAATAATAATTTGTCTAAATAATGCTAAGACAATTCTGTCGAATTTTGTCAGCTTTCAGAATTCATTAAGTATGTTTGGCATCATATAGACAAAATATTTGGATGGATAACGAAATTTCTGACACATTTATATATTTTGGCATTCTATAGACACATCTCCTATGTATGTCTACTGGAATTACTCCAAGTTAATAACCAAGTTGTCTGAAATACTTGCCAGGATTTTTGGTATGAAGTTGGGTAATGTAATGTGGAATGAGGAGTGGGTTATAAATACAAACATGTAAGCAGGTAATATATATTTCAAAACAGGGATTTGATGAAAGTAAAATAGTCATGTTCATTCAATGAACCCAGATGCATATTTTTTGAAAACCAATGTGTTATTAAAACAAGTCAATGGCAGTGTTAATTTTTAAGAGTTCTGTCTTTCTATAGGAATATCACTAATCAAATAAATGTACTCATGAATAATTGAAACATAGCTCACAAGCAAGAGGAATTGACCACTTGAATAATTATCTGATTCACATGTTTGATAGGGCATTCAAAGTTAAAGACTCAGGTTGTCAGCACAGAAAAGTCACTTCTGCTGTTTAGACCCTTTTTACAACTGTGGAAAGCATATGAAACCATTAAATTTACAGAATGGATCTGTCAAGCCACATACATACATTTGGAGCCATGTATTCTAGAAGATAGTTAATAAAAATATCAATAGATGAACTTAAATTCTGAGATATAATAGCATACCTCTGATCAAAATAGCATATTTAAAGAAACTTAAGGATTTGAAGAATTGGAGAATATCATTAGCTGAAACAGTAATATTATAATATATTCATTTGGCAATTCAACTTTCAGAATAGTTCAGTGTCATTTATTAGCACAGACAAATCCCTACCACAGTGGTGCGACTTAGCAATTTTTTGACTATTCTGTGAAACCTTCATATCTCTACACACTTTGAATTTTGTTATGGGGGGGCTAGTGATACATGGTACATGAAATATTTAACACTTCGTTATAAAATATGCTTTGTGTTAGATGATTTGCCCAACTGTAGGATGAGGTATATGTTCTGAGCACATTTAAGCAGGTTTAAAGTAGGCTAGGCTATGATGTTCCGTGGTTAGGTCTCTTAAATGCATTTTGGACTTACAATGTTTCCAACTTTTGATTCATTTATCTGTATGTAACCTATTGTAAGTCAAGGGACATCTATATTTTTCATAAAACAAGCTACCCAAGGAAAAAAGATAATTAGCTTTATGGATGATTCCTAGAGGTTTCAGAAGTGATCAGGATAAAATTAAAGATCAAGGTCTGAGGTTTCTGTTGACTCCTTCATATGTTTAAAAATAATTTAATTATACAAACTGGAATACTACTCTTCTCCCAAGTCCTGTTCCTTTTAATTTTCCCACTGACTTAGGGGCCTTAACCATCTCCATAGGTTTATGAAAGGGTAGCAGATCATTTAGTTTTAATTTGGGTTCAGTCTCCCACCTCCACCCTGAGGCACAGCTTCTCTCCGAGGCCCTGTGGATCCTATGGAAAGTTATTCACCTTGTCATCTTAGCACAGCATGTTTTGAAGCATGTTGGGATTGAGAAAAGAAAAGGAGAATCAGGCCATTATTTTCTAAAATTGTTATGAGAGATAACATGTTGAAAGGTGAGAGCTCAGGTTGATATTAATCAAGTGTTCATCAAGCTTCATTTTTGTTTATGTTCTCTGTTTTCCAAATTCCTATTCTTGTCTGTGACAGTATACCCAATGTGCTTTTATTAATTCCTGGCTTGATCAAGTGGGCTTTGGATCCATATAATGTGTATTTTTCCAGCAAGGTTTACTGTGTTATATTCATTGCATCATTTTTTTAAAAAGAAACTTGTAGCAGGAGACCTTTAAATATATTTTTAAGAGTTCATTTTAATAGCTAAGTATGAGACTCTTTTTTAGTATGTTCTATGACTCCACTTTGATGAACACATTTTATTTCTCTCAGTTCTTCAATTGCTTTAAAATAGAACCAGGTAAGTTTAAAATGTTTCTCTTACATTTGTGAATTTGTCTATGAGAGAGGGGCCATTTCTTATATCTTTTAATAAGCAGCTATAATTAAAACAGATGTTGTTTTAAAAAAATTAACCCTTAAATCCCAATTATCCTCATATGGAAAAAAATATCAACCTAAATGTTGACTATAGATAGTATAATTCTATTATGTATCTATAATGATGAGCAGTGAAAGATTACTTACATTTTGAAAAATATGAATTGAGAAAAAGCATATTTTTTAATGGAATAACTTGTTTTAATAGAGGTACAACCAGAACTAACGATTGTATTTCTTTCTAGTTATTTTAAAATACTAATCAATGCTATGTGTTTGATGTATTTGTTTGTAAGTTAGAAATTTGTTTTGACTTTGTGTTTTCTTTTATGTGCATAACTGTGTAAACTGAACCCGTTCCTAAAATGCATTAAGCTTAAATGAATGCTGTGTCTATCTAATGCCAAAATGCTCAGAAGAAAAGTGAATAATTCAGTCACTCATCTGGATGTGGTTTTCCATGTAATATCAAATATCTGAATATCGAAAACACTAGATTGCTTTTTTTTTCATTCTGTATGCAGCTGTTTAGCATCATCGTGCTGTTTCAGATACACGTTTCATAACATATCCTCAATTATAAGTCTAAGACAGTTATATGTAAAGGATACATTTACTATTTTAGATGCACAATGTTGATAACTGAACTAAAACAATATTTGTGAACTTTGCTATAATGAAATCTTTTATTTTTATAGCTCAGGTATTGTAATTAGCACTAATCACAGTGGAGACTGAAATAATTATTGACACCATAGAGTAGGTCAAACTGGCCAGACCTACAGAGTGATGAAAACATATACTATTTACTTAGGAGACGTTTTCTTAGTTATGTGTATAGTCCTAAATTTCCCCAAACTATGTGTTCATTTGGATTGTGTTATATAATATTAACAGTTGAATGATGAAGAATAAAAGATGCTGAAAGATGGCCTATTTTGTTCAATAAAGATTGTTACAAGACTACAATGTATATTATCTTACATAAATTAATTGAAAAAGTATATATGAATGGTACTTGCTTCTATATATCAGCATCTAAAAACTCTTCTTAAATAACATTCTGAAAGTTTCTTTAATCTTTCTTTGCCAATGACCCCCGAAATCTTATATTTAGCATGTGCTTTCCTTAAAAAAAAAAAAAAAAAAAAAAAGAGAGTTTCATGGTTACAGGGATTTTGTCTTTTTTAAATTAAATTTTTATTTTTAACTTATGAATAATTATTTTGATGTGTAATAGGTACAATGTGATGTATCTCTATATATGCACGCACATGTAGTAGAATGATTATATCAAACCAGTTAACAAATCCATCACCTCACAAATTAATCTCAAGTGCTTAGAGCTAGCTGCCTCATAGAAAATGCTCAAATATTTGTTGAATAAATTAGTTTAGATGCTGAAGCAGCAAGAGAACAAACAGGAGAGCAGCAAGGGAGCATGTATTGGCATAAGAAGAGAGAACCTAAGAACCAAAAATAAGCATTTATTTTGTTTGTTGTTTTGTTTTGTTCTTATATTATCTACTTTTTAATCTTTTTTTTTTTCTAAAAGCTTTATCTGTAGGTCTGTGGCTTGGCCTTTCTAAGCAGAGTAGATAAGAATCTCCTGGGTAAATTTTGAAATGCAGATTAATGCAATAGATATATTTCATGTGGACTTTATGAGTCTTTAATGGATATCCACTCCTGACACACACTTGGACATGAACAGGGCTCTTGACTTCGTTTAGCATTCATTTCCTAATCTACTGGGTCTTAAGCAGTTGGCTGAAAACAGAGATTTTCCTCTACATTCTGCAGAGACCTAGCCCTTTAGTAAAAATCACTCTAGGGCTGCCAAGAGGTAAATGAATATCAAGAGGCTAGGACTCTGGATTTCTATAATCCCTTCATCTTCAACTGGAGTATTTATTATTTTATATAATGTATTTTTGGGGCATATATAATCTGCATATACTTTCATTGGAGAAAGGTAATCCAAGTCTAAAATGATTTGAAGTCCCAGATCGGCCAGGGGCGGTGGCTCATGCCTGTAACCCCAGCACTTTGGGAGGCTGAGGTGGGCGGATCACAAGGTCAAGAGATCGACACCATGCTGGCCATGGTGAAACCCTGTCTCTACTAAAAATACAAAAAAATTAGCTGGGTGTGGTGGCACGCGCCTGTGGTCCCAGCTACTCGGGAGGTTGAGGTGGAAGAATTGCTTGAACCCAGGAGGTGGAGGTTGCAGTGAGCCGAGATTGTGCTACTGCACTCCAGTCTGGTGACAGAGCAAGACCCCGTCTCAAAAAAAAAAAAAAAAAGTCACAGATCAAGAGGATCTCTAGGATCCTTTCTTCCCATTTGCTCACTCAGTCATCCATTCAATCATTCAATAAACATTCTTTGAGGTCTGATATGTGCCTGCTATTCTGCTTGTTACTGAGGATCCAAATGTAAGCACAAGTAATAACTATGAATACTAACATGTTTCAGTTACACCATTCATTTAGGTGATTTTTAAAAATGTATTAAATATTCTCAGGATTCTTAGAAATCAGTATTACAGTTATCATTGTTTCATAGTTGAGGAAGTTGGGATAGAGAAGTAGCAATTAAATTACCCCAAATCACACAGCTAGGAAGAGGAAAAGGTGAGATATGGACCTGGAAATGAGTTACTGGAATCCATATGCTTAACAACTTCAACATACAGCTTCTCCTGCAAAGGCCCAGACCCTGCCCTGATGGAATTTACGATTAAAAAAAAAAAAAAAAAAGACAACAATTAACGAAGGAAGCACACAGATAAATGCATTACTGCAATAAATACAAATGTGGGTTCTCTTTATAGCAGGGTGGAGGCAGGAGTATCTGAATGTCTTAGCTGTGCATAAGCTTGATGGAGAAAATGATATTTAGCTAAGATTAATAAAAAGATAATATTTGTATGGATGTTCAAACCTTCAAAAAAGAAATTTTCTAGTATTAGATACTAGGTAACAATATTTGAAAGTGCAAACTTGAATTGCATACCTAGATATTTGTTAATTAGTGCTGTGCAAAAAATGAAAGCATCATATGGGAGAATCATGCTTCCTATTTCCTGTAAGCTAGGATATCTGTCTCTGTTATATATAAATGATCGCAAAATGTAGGATTCTTCCACGTACCTTAATTTCTAGGGCTTAAATTTGTAGCATTCTCTCTCTCGCCTTCTCTTTGAAAACCCCTGCATCAATTAGAATTATTGATTCAAGTTGCCTGTGGAGAGGTTAGAGAATTTGCATCATAAGTCAGTGTCGTGTGGATGCATTTCCCTTTTCTGCCTATATTTGTTCACAGAAAATCCAGGATGATTTGAAGCTCCTGGAAGAGGCGGGTGACCTCTGTACCTGGTAAACTGCTGAAGGAGCATGTTTTCCTGGGCCACATTTCTATCAAAGATGAGAACGAGAGAAGGCACCCTGTAGTAGATCATGGGTAAAATGTGATGCTAACACTCTGCCTATAAAAACCACTAAGAATGAGAGTCTGGGTGATTTTGAAAAAGTGTAGTCGAAGCAGTAACAATATGGATAAGGGGTTGGGGGGTTCGGGGGACAAATAATGAAGAGGAAATTTTAAATACATCCTTTTAATCCCTGAAACAGATCTTGCTGAAGTAGACGGGTCATAAATAAAAACGAATTATTTACTAGATGTGTTTCCAGCCTTTATTTGGCATTGACCATGGAGGTACTGTAATGAATATTAGCTCAATTAATATCTACATGTTTGAAAAAGTGTGAGATAGATGATAAATGTTCTTCAAATCAGCAGACCTTGAGATCAGCAAGGTGTGTCCAAAAAAGTAAATGATTATTAAGTTGACATAATTAATTCTAGTACCTTGAAAGAGAATACACCTTCTCATGTTTTATTCTCCTTGGAGGAAAAACAGCCGGTTTTTAAGTATTCAACTTAATATAAGTAACGGAATAGGAAGCTGACCGAGGCTTGAGGCAGTATAAAGAGTGAGATACACTCATTTTTTCCACAATGAATACATAGACAGGTTTTTTTTTTAATGAGGAATTAGAGATCTTTTTTTAAAATTGCATTTTAGGTTTTGGGGTACATGTGAAGAACATGCAAGATTATTGCATAGGTACACATGTCGCTATGTGATTTGCTGCCTTCCTTCCCTTCACCTATATCTGGCATTTCTCCCCATGCTATCTCTCCCCAACTCCCCACCCCACACTGTCCCTCCCCTATTCCCCCCAACAAACCCCAGTGTGTAGTGCTCCCCTCCCTGTGTCCATGTGTTCTCATTGTTCATCACCTGCCTATGAGTGAGAACATGTGGTGTTTCATTTTCTGTTCTTGCGTCAGTTTGCTGAGAATGATGTTCTCCAGATTCATCCATGTCCCTACAAAGGACATGAACTCATCGTTTTTGATTGCTGCATAATATTCCATGGTGTATATGTGCCACATTTTCCCTGTCCAGACTATCATTGATGGGCATTTGGGTTGATTCCAGGTCTTTGCTATTGTAAACAGTGCTGCATTGAACATTCGTGTGCATGTGTTCTTATAGTAGAACGATTTATAATCCTTTGGATATATACCCAGTAATGGGATTGCTGGGTCAAATGGAATTTCTATTTCTAGGTCCTTGAGGAATTGCAACACTGTCTTCCACAATGGTTGAACTAATTTACACTCCCACCAGCAGTGTAAAAGTGTTCCTATTTCTCCACATCCTCTCCAGCATCTGTTGTCTCCAGATTTTTTAATGATCGCCATTCTAATTGGTGTGAGATGGTATCTCAATGCAGTTTTGATTTGCATTTCTCTAGTGACCAGTGATAATGAGCATTTTTTTATATGATTGTTGGCCTCGTGTATGTCTTCTTTTGTAAAGTGTCTGTTCATATCCTTCGTCCACTTTTGAATGAGCTTGTTTGTTTTTTCTTGTAAATCTGTTTTAGTTCTTTGTAGATTCTGGATATCAGCCCTTTGTGAGATGGGTAAACTGCAAACATTTTTTCCCATTCTGTTGGTTGCCGAGTCACTCTAATGATTGTTTCTTTTGCCATGCAGAAGCTGTGGAGTTTGATTAGGTTCCATTTGTGTATTTTGGCTTTTGTTGCCAATGCTTTTGGTGTTTTTGTCATGAAGTCCTTGCCTACTCCTATGTCCTGAATGGTTTTGCCTAGATTTTCTTCTAGGGTTTTTATGGTGTTAGGTCTTATGTTTAAGTCTTTAATCCATCTGGAGTTAATTTTAGTATAAGGTGTCAGGAAGGGGTCCAGTTTCTGCTTTCTGCACATAGCCAGTTTTCCCAACACAGTTTATTAAACAGGGAATCCTTTCCCCATTGTTTGTGTTTGTCAGGTTTATCAAAGACTGTATCATTGTAGATATGCTGTATTGCCTCTGATGCCTCTCTTCTGTTCCATTGGTCTATATCTCTGTTTTGGTACCAGTGCCATGCTGTTTTGGTTACTGTAGCCTTGTAGTATAGTTTGAAGTTCAGTAGTGTTATGCCTCCCACTGTCTTCTTTTTACTTAGACTTGAGTTGGCTATGCGGGCTCTCTTTTGGTCCATATGAAGTTTAAGGTGGTTTTCTCCGGTTCTGTGAAGAAACGTCATTGGTACCTTGATAGGGATAGTATTGAATCTGTAAATTACTTTGGGCAGTATGGCCATTTTCACAATATTGATTCTTCCTAACCATGAACATGGAATGTTTCTCCATCTATTTGTGTCCTCTCTGATTTCGTTGAGCAGTAGTTTGTAGTTTTCCTTGAAGAGGTCCTTTAAGTTCTTTGTTAGTTGTATTCCTAGGTATTTTATTCTCTTTGTAGCAATTCTGAATGGAACTTTGATCTTGATTTGGCTTGCTTTGTGTCTATTATTGGTTTATAGGAATGCCTATGATTTTTGCACATTGATTTTGTATCCTGAGACTTTGCTGAAGTTGCTTATCAGTTTC